CACACATATATATATTTAAATATATATATATATATATATATATATATATATATATATATATATATATATATATATATATATATATACGTATATATCTCAGCTTATGGAAGTCTATTCATATACGTGTACACTCTGAGTTTCATAGCCATACGTACCTGTGATGTCCTCATCTGAGGAATCACCGGAATCTTCGACCACTTTCTTTGCCTTTGCCTTGCGCCCGGGTCTGGCCAATTTGGTTGGTGTCTGTACCGCAATCATGATCTGACGCCCGCGTGATGTTGCTTTTTAAAGCGAACACCAGCTACGTACAGAATATATATATATATATATATATATATATATATGTACCAATATACACAACCTAGCTATGGTTGGATCGCCAGTGGTTACTTATGCACCCGTGACCAGTAAATACTTCCTACTATCCGATGCTCTCTAGTAGGCTGGTATAGCTTCTAAGCTGCGTATATATCGCCTTGATATGATACATTTATTTTAGATATATTTTTTAACATACATACTGAAATCCACAGCGACGGAATATTGATGACATAATCGCCACGAAAGCGGTTAATTATTCCCGCCCTTTTCCGCCATAGACTGCTCAGAAGTGATGATTCTAATTTAGTACTGAATCTATCGTGTTTGTTTTTAACTATTCGAGGATATACCCATACAATACCTCAAAATATGCGACAGTTACCCGAGAAAATGTTGCTAACAATGTTTTTTATTTCTTGTGAACTCAAACATAGGTAGCGCCAATTAATACAGGGTAACGCAAAGCACACACAACAAGCAAGAGCTCATCGAATTCTCTAGCAAATGTACTTCTTGATGTGCTATATATCGCTTGTGTACTAAAAATATATATGTTGCTTGAGCATAGGCGTGAATGCAATATACATACACTATAGGTTAGGTAAGCCTTTGTGCAGCTACAACATTATAAATATATACAAATACTTATCTTAATATAGAATCACACACGACGACAGTATGCACTTTGAGGCTTGAATATGTTGGGCAGGGAGCAAACTCAGAACTTATCACTTGACTATATCATACCGAAGGGTTGACAGTATATAAGAATATAAACAACAATAAGCATATATCCATGCAAGCTCAAAATAGCAAGTGTCAGTATCTAGATAACGCATGCCCGTAGCCTTTAGTAACTACAATAAGGAAGATACAAACACCCGTACTTAACGTATGTATATCATCACATCAAAACTCAACCAAGGTGATTACACTATATACCCATATACTTAATTCGCGATGGGTCCCCGCCGTCGCGTAGATACCAAGAATAGTGCCAAGGCACAGCAACAAGCGCTGCAAACACTTGCACAAGCACGTGCACTCCATAGGGAAACGCAGGAGCTCGAAGCACAGTTTACACAGACATTACGTAACTTCACATCATCGCGACAGTACTTTGATGAAGGCCTGCATCAACTCAGGCAGACAATTGTGCAGAACTACACCAAAATAGTGTTCATTGCGTACGAGTATGCGATCGAAAAGGAGATCGAAGTGCACCTCTGGCGTGCGGGCTTCTACATGATCATAGAGGCCTGTCGTGCTGGGTTACGTAAACGACAGTCACGCAGTACAAAGGCAACTAGCCAAGGAGGTGTGAACGTGAACATTGCAGACGCAGACACGAACATACAAGACGATGTAATACGCTCACAGCCCGTAGATAAGCTGAAGATATTCTTAGACTCGTTTCTGTACGAGGCAACGGGGTTCTACTTGTGTCTGTTACGCCGTATGTTCTCAGAATTGGGTATGAAATGTCCTGAATACCTCAATTTATGCGGTATAGCTGCGCCCATGTCGTTTACTGAGGGCCCGACCTCGTTTGGATTAAGCTTAACTACATCCGGCACACGCTCTGACGCACGCAGTAATTATGACAACAATAGAGGCCAGAGTGAGAAGGAGAACTCACGCGATAGCAGAGACTCGGGCAGTTATAAGAACACTAGATATAGCGATAGAGAAGGCAATTCACGTAGTAGGGAGACAGAAGGGGGTACTTCGGTCAATACACACCATCCAGCAGTTAATGAGAGTGTGCACCGTAGTCTTATATTTCTGGGTGATCTGGCCAGATATCATGATGGGTTGAGCGATGCGCGTGGCCCCATATTCTCGTCAGCACACTCGTTCTACTTTCAGGTACGTTAGTCAATTTAGTACCCGCATTTTCGATATGTATAGCTCATGCACTTTTTTGATATGAGAATGCATACATAGACATGCAACAGATTTCGTGTGTCTGTATGCGTATATATATATATATGTATATAATATATATATACACATGTATACAATATATATATACATATATATATATATATGTATATACACACACACACACACACACACACACACACACAC